TATACTCAAATGGAGATTGGAAGATCTATCTTAAGTAAATTTTGGGCAGTTTAGTGTTTCAAAAAAAAAGGCAAGCAAATTTGGAGTTACTTGATTTTAAAATTTTTTATTGAATTCAAAGCAATACATATAACTTACATGGATTTGAAATAAGGGGGTTTTTTTACCTAGTTATTTTTTAACTAAGTTTAGTTTTGTTGTTGGTTGTTTGCTTATATTGGCACTATTTTATTTTCGAACTACCACCCAGTAGTTCCAAAATAGAGCTGAATCAAATTTTAAGAGCTGAATCAAATTTTCATACTTGAGTTGCCTGGTCTTGGAGTTATCACATGGCTTCTTCTTTTAAGCCTTCTTGGTTCTGCCTTATGAAGAGAAAGGCCTCACTAAGAGTAGTGTCGATTCATTGGCCTTTTCATTATTCATTTCTGCCATCAATGACACAGAAATAATAAGACCTGCAACCCCCAGCAGTTAATTTTGGTTTTTTGGTTTTTTGGGGGTTTTTTTTTTTGATACTGGGGGTCGAACTCAAGACCTTGTGCTTTTTGTTAATAGCTTTGTTGAAAGGTTAATCAGGGCCCAGAGATTTAGCTCAGTGGTTCCGGCACAAGCCTCACAATCGCAAGGTCCCAAGTTTGATCCCCCGTAGCAAAAAAAGAAAAGAAAAGTTAATCAGGTGAATAAGTATCTATGAGATTTCTTTTTCTCTAGTATTATGGATAATTTAATAGATTCAATTTGGGAGGGGCATTTTTAAGTCACATTCAAAGAGTGTTAACTATTCTCTAAAGAGGCACAGTTTGTAATAGTACAGAGAATTATGTTATTTGGACTTAAAAGTAAGTAAATCTAAAAATGCAAATTTTTTCACTGTCCATGATGCAACATAGCATTGAAATTTACATAATTTTAATAATGCCACTTTTTGAAAAAATTATTTGAAAACAATTGTATTTTAATGTGTGTTTCTTTATTTTGAATAAATCCCTTAAGATAATTCAACTTTTGAAAATATTTATGCATTATTTAATGCCATGGAAAGGATAATGTACTAAAGTTCTTAATATACTGTTGCATTCAATATAGGTATTTAGAAATTAGAAATGACCTATTGACAGCAAGAAATAATAGTTGATACTGCCATCGCTATAATAAAACCACTTTATACATACTGCCAGATCTGACTTCTAATAGTTTGTTTTGTTAAACAAATTTCTATCTATGTTCATACTTTTTTCTTCTA